TATATATATATATATATACATGTTTATGAAATGACTCTATGGTAGATACTAAATATTTAATAATTTTAAATGGCTCTGTACAGTGGTTTATTTAGCTGATATTTTTAATTATCTGAACTCGTTAAATATGAGTTTACAAGGGAAAGAAGATAGTAATTTTCACGTGGAGGATAACATTGTAGACATATTAAAAAAACTTAAGCTGTGGAGAAAACGTTCACTTCAAAACAATTTTTACCACTTTCCAACTCTTTATGCATTTTTAGAATCATCAAATGAAGTTTTTCCTCAGAACGTAGAAATATATAATTATTAAACGCCTCTAAATTTTGAAATATTCATTTCGAAAATATTTTCCAGTTCCTGAAAAAAATAAAAATTGGGTAGTAGATCTTTTTAATGCAGATGTCCTTGAMATTATTGGTTTAACAACAACATCAGAAAATCAATTTTAATTTAAAAACGGTTTTCAAAGAATCTCCTTTGTCTTTTTTTTGGTTGAGTTTAAAATATGAGTATACAAAAATATCAGAAGCAACAATAAGACTATTGATGCTTTTTTCAACATCTTATCTCTGTGAAAAATGATTTTCAACTTAAGTATATACTAAAAATAAATATAGAAATCGATTAAATATAGAATTAGATTTACGTATTTCATTTTCTAATATAGATCCTAACATACYAGATTTAGCATCAAAGAAACAACACGATCCGTCACATTGAACATACTAGTTATTTATTATACAAACAATATATATTATCTATTTTTATCCATTTTTTTTATCATAAAAATCTGTGCATTAAGTTCAAAAAAATAAAGTAATCACTTTAGTATTATTATTTATTATTGTTATGAATATAAATTTTTATTAAGGGGTTCGGAAGAGAAAAATTTTGGGAAACGCTGGGCTAGAGTATGAAAATGATTCAAAAAATAATAATTTAATAAACATCTAATAAAAACATTTTTAATATTTAACAATTATTCTAATATATGATTATAATAATTATTATTTTTTTAAATTTAATTTTGAATACTTAATTCTCATTTTTAAGATCCCATTACATATTTTAATGGTCCACGGTGTACTAGTCAACCACTTATTAAATGAAGTATCAGGTGTATCAGAAATCGTATCACTTAATGGTGTTAGAAGCCAACAGTCAAGGTCTAAATGGTATCCTGAATTGCCTTATGACAAGATTACTATGATTAGAAGATCCAAAATKATTTTCTGTTTACAAAATACTTATTAACTACAGTAATATTGTTGAAGATTATTTATATTTTGTAAATATAAAAATTATTATTCCTACTTAATACATCATAATATGAAACATGTTCATTGTCTTACAAATTTTTCATGTAAGTGGATATCATACTTTGCTGCCATATATTGCTACCAGATTATTTATGATTAAAATTTATTATTCTTGCATTAGAGTCACAAATCTTTCGTCAATAACTGAACCATAATGTCATATCTTAAAATTAAACGAACAATGGCCTTTTTTTTTGGTCAATAGCTAATATTGAACTTGTTATAACTTATATTGAATCTATTTATCTTGTCAATTCAACTCAATTTTAAAGTTCTAGGTACAATATGATTCTACACTTCTACTTATATTTATATTCAATAAAAAGTACACACTGAAAAATAAATTATACTACGTAATGTTCCTTAATAACTTGCTAATTGTGTATTAATGCTATGGTAACCCTTGTGGTTCACATAAATGTGTTCAGCATATAACTCTTCTAAAAGAGGTATAAATATAGCAACATGTGTACAGTCTATATAGTCCCTATGACCCCTGAAACTCCTTTTTTTTTTATCAAGATATATGTTTATGTTTAGAACAAATATAGCAATTTGAAAATCATACAAGGTTCAATTTACGTAAAAATATATTATTTTTTAGTACACATAGTATAGGTACCATAAAGATTTTAGTCAGATATGAGTGAAAATTAATTACCTTCTATTTACTGCATTTAATTTTTGAAAACTATCAGGGAAGCTWWTACATCATTTTATGATATCCGATTAATTTAAAGCATTTGATACTTCAACGATACATCTGCTCACAGATGGCTGACTTAATGCTGATGATCTATTGTCACCAACRTCAAGTTGATACGAGCCGAAACCTAACATAATACACAGCATTTTTCTTAATTAATTATTATTAATAATTTTAATTTTAACAAGTTAAGTTGGAATTATTTTACATATTTATCCWTGTACAATAAATATAAATTTTGCATATTGCCCCCCAAAAAAAAAAAAAAATTGAAAAATCCCACCACTAATTTTATTTGTAGGATTAGATAATGATGTAAGATTCAAATTGAATTGCAGATTTTTAAAACATAAAAGCAAATATTCATTTTTGATATAATGATAAAAGTACTCATCRGTTTGGTAATGGGGTTTATGGTTTATCAACAAAGAAGCAATAATACATTATGAAAATGCTTCAAAAATAGAAAACAAGATATAGTTAGGTAGGTAGTCAATGTATTATATATAGTACTTGTGTTCAAATCAACAAAATTTGTATGGATCAAACTTGAGAAATGAAATATTCCAAATAGTCTTACATTATTATTTTTCAATATTTAAAAAAATACCTATTGCAGTTGATATTAAATGTCTTTATCAATTGCAAACAAATTTTTTAAAAGGTTAGTACAATCAAGAACTTTATATTCATTAATTCATTATCTAGGAAAAATATGAGGAAAATTTGTGAGGAAATTCCTAAAGTAAGTTAGTCAAGAAATTTGTATAGTATTTTTAAGTCTTGAAAACTGTTATCCTTAAATTTTGTTTTTAAATGTTAGTCTGGAAAAATATATAGAAGATCTCCTATATTATTTGCACGGCAAGAAGAGTGCGGTTTGATAGTCACCAACAATATCATTTTTTTCGTTATGGTGTGTACTATAATTTAAGCCAAAGAAAATTTTATGAGTTGGATGGTTCTTTAAGAAGGAACTAGGAAACTAGGCTTATTTGTCTTTATAGACTGAAGTTATTTTATAATATAATTTTTAGTTTTAAATATTTAAAATTAGTTATTGTTACATTATAATACTGCTGAAAACTGCAGAATAATTAAAAATATTAAAATATTAAATATTATAATTAATAGGAGGATTTACCTATCACAC